TCGCATCATTTGTATTTTGGAAGGCAAAGATCTAGATGGCTTTATAAAAGAAGATCCTCCAAAAGATGAAAAAATAACTGTCGATTGGAAAAGAAAAGATGCCCAAGCTAGAGGGATAATAACTTGTGCAATGGATGACACACAAGTAAGTTTAATTTTAACATGCAAAACAAGTAAAGAAATTTGTACTGCTTTGCATTCTAGATATGAGGGTAACATAAAGAGAAAATGCATAGAGGCTAAAAACAATGTATCTAGATTAACAATGAAAAAAGAGGAAACCTGGGAACAATATTTGCTTAGAGCAGAGAAATTATTGCAAGAAGCAAGAATTTTGGGTGGATCAATAGAAGATGAAGAATTCATCACAGCTTTTATTAGAGGGCTACCCCCAAAATACAATCTTGTCTCAATGCAATTTGATAATTACCCAGATGCTACTATTTCTGATATAAGAAGAATTTTTGAGCTCCATGAAGAAAGAAACAAGAACAACAAGGATGAAAATGCTGCATATAATATGGGCCATAAATTTAACAAAAACTTTAAGAAAAATTCAAATGATTCTAATAGAGAAAGAAAACCCAAATGTTTCATTTGTCAAAAGTTTGGACATAAAGTAGCAGTATGCTGGTTCAACCCAGTTAACAAAAGAAAAGAAAACAATCAAGGGAATTCTATACAAACAATCCCCAAACAAACATTTTAAAAAAATAAACAATATACTTCTAGGGCTTCTTTGATAGGAGAAAATCATAATCAAGAAACTGCCATGAACTTAAGTTCCAGAGTTCAGCAATAAATGCAAGTGGATACTAGACAGTGGAGCAACAAGCCATATGTCTAAAGACATTAATCTAATAGATGATCTTCAAGATGATAGTAGAAAAATCACTCTTCCTGATGATAGATTCATCAAATCAAATGGTATTGGAACTGTTGAAATTTATCAGGATAATAATCATCTTTTAACACTAAAAGAAGTTCTATATGTACCTGTACTCAACAATAATTTAATATCAGTAAGTAAAATAACTGAAGATCAAAAACAGATTATATTTGATGAGAATGGTGCAAGGATAATAGATAACAATGGATCCAGCATTATAACTGCAAAAAGGGAAGATAACATTTATACAATTGATGCATGTGCAAACATCAAACTGGAAGAAAATGTGTTCAAAACACAAGAAAATAATTGGAAATTTTGGCACAAACGCCTTGCACATATAAATGAAAATTATATGAATATGATGCTAAAAGACTCCATGGTATATGGATTCAGTTGTTCACCAATTAATAACTTAGAACCATGTATCACATGCATTCAATCAAAGTTTACTAGATTGCCATTTAAAGATATTGATTCAAAGCAATCAACCAAACCCCTTGATCTCATTCATATGGATTTAATAGGTCCATTTCAGCATGAATCCATTGGCAGAGCAATATATGTGCTGAACATAGTTGATGACTTTTCAAGGAAAATATTCCCCAAGTTCCTTAAAAGCAAATTAGAAACCTTTGCCAAACTAAAGGAATTTATTGAACTTATAGAAACATAAAAGGTACAAAAATCAAAAGAATAAGGTCTGATAATGGAGGGGAATTTACAAATAGACAATTAAGCTCTTATTTGATAGAAAAGGGAATAAAACATCAATTTACAACCTTTTATTCACCCTCTCAAAATGGAATAGTGGAAAGAGCAAATAGAAGTTTAATTGAAGGTACAAGAGCACTATTGATAGATACACAATTGCCACCAAAATTCTGGGCAGAAGCCATGAACACTTATTCTTATATAAAAAATAGAACTCCACATAAAAGGAATGATAAAACCACCCCTGAAGAACTATTTACAGGAAAGAAACCTACTATAAAACATTTAAAAGTTATTGGATGCAGAGCTGAATATTGGATTCCTAAATTCAAAAGATACAAATTTGAAAAAAATCACAAAATCAGGTATATTTGTTGGATACTCAAATAAAAGAAAAGCATTTAGAATCTGTGACCCTAAAATTTATGCAATTACTGAAACAAGGGATGTAAGCTTCATTGAAAAAGAAAAGGGAGCTGAACTACTTAGTAATGAAGTAAAAGCTGAATTGCCAGATCATGTATTAATTGACCTAAATTTTTGTCATAAAATTGGTCAAAAAGAAGAGGAACCAATTCCTATTCACCAAGGAAATGTTCCAGAATCCACAAGTAATGAGACAGATGAAGATAAAAATGTCTACAACTTGAGACCTACCCCTGAACAAGGATTTTACTATGAATCATCATTATCTGATGAAGACACATCACAAGATGACACCACTTCTGATCCTACCTACCATCCAGGAGATAATGTAATGAAGGTTGATTCATTACCAATTATACCAACTGATTATGAAGAGGCAATAAACTCTCCAGATAAAGAAAAATGGCTTCAAGCCATGAAAGGTGAAATAGTTTCTTTAAAAACTCACAAGGTGTGGATGTTTTACCAATGACTAAAACCATTAAGCCTATCAAATCAAAATGGGTGTTTTCAATTAAAAATAGCCATGATCCTTTAAATCCCATATATAAAGCAAGATTGGTTGCTGTAGGATGTTCACAAAAATTAGGAGTAGACTATTCAGAAACTTATTCACCTGTGATAAAATCAGATTCTCTAAGGACTTTAATTGCTTTTGCAGCAATGAAAAATTTGCATATTCATCATTTTGATATAGAAACTGCCTTTTTGTATGGTAAGTTGGAAGAGACTATATACATGTCACAGCCTAAAGGATTTGAATTTCAAGAAGAAGGTAAGAAATTTGTTTGTAAACTTAATCAGGCCATTTATGGACTTAAACAAGCAGGCAGAATCTTTTATGAAACCTTTACTAAATATCTTCTTCAAATAAGATTTAAAATTTTTAATTCAGATAAATGCTTATTTTCATACTAAAATAATGACTCAATTCTTTTTTTGGGACTTTATGTTGATGATATCATTATTTGTAATACTGATTCTAAAATTTTAAATGATATTTTAAATAAGTTAACACTTTGTTTTAAAATAAAGAAAAATGCTAATCTTTTAAGTGTTTTAGGAATTGAAATATTAAAATATAATGACAAAATAATTCTAAAACAACAGAAATATATTGAAAAACTTTTATTAAAATATAATATGTTAGATTGTAAAACTGTTAATACACCCCTTGATGTATATACTGATTTGGAAAATTTTAATAATTCAAAGGTAATTGATAAAAAGAAATATCAGGAAATTATTGGATCTTTAGTTTACCTTGCTACTAAAACTTGGCCTGACATTTCATATTCCACTTCACTTCACTTTTAAGCAGATTTAGTCAGGATCCAAGAGAAATCCATTTTAGTGCAGCAAAAAGAATTATAAGATATCTTAAAGGAACAAAAGACCTTGGATTAGTTTACTCTAAGGGAAAAAATATTTTAAATGGCTATAGTGATGCATCATGGAAATGTGGTAGAGGAACACAAAAATCAACAAGTGGTATGACTTTTTATTTTGGAAATAATTTAATAAGCTGGCAAGCAAAAACAATCCCTACAGTATGTTTATCTACATGTGAAAGTGAACTTTTTCCTCTTGTGCAATGTTTAAAAAGAGGCATATATTACAATACCTTATTGAAGAACTTACTAGTGTAAAATATAAAATTAATTTGTTTTGTGATAACCAATCAACAATATTTCTTTGTAAATCAGGAATGACAAATGATAAATCAAATCATATGATTAGAAATATTTCATTTTTACATTCTAATTTGAATAATGTTGTATATAACTTAAATTTTGTGCCTACCAATGAGAATGTTTCAGATATTTTTACTAAGGCCTTAACAAGGGAAAAACATCATATTTTATACATTCTTTAAATATGGAAAGATATATATAACTTCATTAAATATGTATGTACATAAATTCACTTGTTATATTTTTAAAATATGTTTTTTGATATATGTTTTTCACTTTATGTAAAATGTGGCCTATGCCAAACAAAAGCTTGTATATAAGTGAAAGCATGGGGAGGTATCGCCATCTATGTTTGAGTTTTTAAACTGTTTATATTTCTGAAGAAAAATTGAGATTGAATTAAAGGCGGGATTTGTTAGGTTTATTAATCCAAATAATTTTTCTCTGTATAAATAAATTATATAAATATATGAATAAATATAAATTGATGATGATAAATTAGCCAGCATATGTTAATTAACAATTTGGGAACGTAGTTACTGCCTTCTTGATCCTTTCTTGTTTTTTGTATTTCTTCTTAATTCTTAAAATTTGCTTTTGTAGTTTCTATGCATAAAGATAATATTAAAAAATATATTTAAGTAACATTTTCTCTTTTTACCCCCAAAACGACCAACACCTGGATCTGTAAGGAAACCACATTTTTCTCAAAATATTTCGAGAGATTGCTTCCTCTATCTCTCTCTCTTTATCAATTTATTGCACAATAAACTTGATTTACAAATTCTTGTAGATCACTTGGAAACAACTTTGTCATTGGTAAAAATATTTGAGAAAAAATTGTTTTTTTTTTTCTTACAGATCCAGATACGCCCTTTTTATTTAAACGTATTTAATGGATCTCCTTTTGACTAAAAAAAAATTAGGTTGATCTGAATATTGAATTTTTTTCGCAATATTTGGTGAATTTTTATGAAATTTCAGCAACACATAAAGTGTATAAAAGATAAATCCCTTCGCAATAAATTTTATTCAATTTTATATATATACCTATTGCGAAAGATTTTATATTTTATAATAAATAACAAGCGGATGTACCCGGCTTCGCCCGTTTTTACTCGAGTAAAGGTTTCTGTTACACAGACTTTTGACTTTAATCA